ATCTGCAGTGCTCCATGCCTACAGGAAAACTGCAGGAATTTTAGCAATAGAAACACTTGGACAGGAGGTAACTTTCCCCTATAAAGCAGGGGGAAAAGTGCAGCAATGGCTGAGACCTGCTGTGAATAATTAATGACATTTTTTCAGGCAGTGACTTATGCCTGAATTCCTAAAGGAAATAGTCTACTTAAACTGGTTTATTAAAGCTGTATCCCAAGGAAAATCCAAACTACGTTTAATGAAGCAATCTGACCAATTTGTGATGCATTTTCCGTCTCTAGTTCTTCATGTGCCATTCAAACCCATACAGCATGTAATTAAATGAAGGATGGCTAAAATATCTCACTTGCTAGATTACTATACATTTTCCTAATTAGCAATTACAACCCACTGTTGCCACAGTCATTTGCTGAGTAATACCTGTTCCACTGTAGGCTTGAGCACAACTACAGAAAGTAATAACACACAAACCCCACTATAGTTAGATGCTTAACAAGCACTATAAATAAATAAAAAAGAGGGTCACAACTTCAAAGGAACTGGAGCTTTAATTTATAGTGCAGAGGTTAGCAAAATAATTAATGAGAATTATAACAAAACAAAGGAGAGAAATCACTGAAATCTTCTAACCATGCAGCTTTGGGAAAAGCAAACAAATAATCCCCAAACCAAAGCTGAAGGTTGTCTAGAACACTTTATTGGTGCACCGTGCTTCTGATCTGTGATCCACCCCCTTCCCTCCCTGCCAGATTCCTGTTAAAAAGAAAGAAAGATCTCACACCAATTCCACACTTCGCAACAAGATTTCAGGGAGCTTTTCTTTTCCTACCATGTAGGGAACAAGCAATGATAGGATCAGATAAAAGCACATAATGAGATTAAGTCTCATTAAAAAACCCCTCTTGCGCTTCAAAGGCACTTAACTCTATTAGAGTTAAGACTGAGAACGGTACATACCCCTACAAACACAAGTCACGCGTGCAGAAGAGACGCAACGCTGCAGAAACTGCATTTCTTGCCGTAAAGCAGTCACATCGAATGGCAAAACACTCTTCTGAAATGCACGGATTTTACGTGATGAGACAAGGCAATATTCTCCAGGGTCCTTGATGCGCCTTGCATCGAAAGGGTTTCTAAACAGCTACATGTGAAACACCTCCACATTCAAAGGATGCACAGCGTAGGTAGCTGCTTTTTTGCAATGAGCGCCTGGTATGGCAGCAGCTCAGGGCACTCACTTGCCCCAAACCGCTTCTCTAGTACCTTGTCTCCCAGCGCAGCCACCTCTTACCGACACCGGATTTCAGTCCCTATGGATGCACCTGACTCTGTGGCGGACAAGTCTCAAGTGTTTCATAGGGATGGGAATTTCCGCGTTTTACACGCAGAAACTAAAGAAATGAGAGGCCTGACCTTTGAGAGAAGACAGAGAGAACTGCTGCAAAACTTTTGCAGGAAAACCGAATCCAGTTCTATCAAATTTGACTTTTAAAAAGAAGAGAAATTTAAATATAAATTCAGATTATTACAGGAATTACTGGGAATTCAAAGATTAAATAATCACATTGAAATAAATCAGGTAACTATTATTGAAAGCTAGCTGCAAGCCTGAATAAAATTATATTAATATAGCTTTAACAGTAGCACTGAGAATTAAGAAAAAAATTCAACCAATTCAGCAATGTGTAGCATGCCCAAATGAACTATATGCACCTTTTTTCAACAAAAAAGTTCTTATTGATTTGCTAAATCTATTGTATTAGTCATACCTTTTTAAATATCTTGACAGATACATATACAAAGCTACAAAAATAATCACACTTCCTATCAGCTTGTCAATAATTAATTTTTTCTTTGTGAATATAATTACTGTTTTTATCAGCAAAATTCTTAAATTTCTATAGAAAGATATGATGCATAAAAAATACTTTAATTTTTGTTTCAAAGTTTTTATTACAAAATTCCTTAGCTAAAATAATAAATTAATCCTCTAATGGACAATGTTCATCCTGATTCTGTGAAGATGACTGATAAAATTGTTTATTAGCAATGAATCCTTACGTGTTCAGTGCCATCCAGGTCAAATTTAGCTAGAGACTGACCCTAATCCTAAATCAGATTTTCTAGCTAGCCTCTATTCTGCCAGCACAGAAAAGCTACAGATGGCAGAAGAGAGGAATGCCAACAGTACCAAATAGGAACATTCATTTTTAAAGACAACTTAAAAATAAATTTCTCATACAGATTTATAACTAAATTTGCTGTTAGGCAGAAGAAACATAAAATAAGACAAAACAAAAAGCTGCCTGCTGTGGAATACTGCTGAAAATACAGTGTTTCCACTGAAGCCAGCTCTGAGGCCAGACAGGGTCACAGACTGGAACGGCGATGATGTTGAGGGCAGTGCTGTAGGCAAGGGGACTTTTTTCATAAATTCTGCTCTCCCTTTCCCACTGTCAGCTTCTCAACTCCTCTACTACATTCAGTGCCATTTTTGATGGTACATTGTTGGGTTTTTTTCTTGGGGATCTGAGTATAAATGAAAATAAATGTCTACAAGGATGTTTCTATTTCGCAGCTAATACTATTCCATTGTTTCCTTCATGTCACTCTGGAACTGTAAAAAGGCCTTGTAGCAGGAATATATTACATATATTCTCAGTATGGGTCCCTTCAAACTGTGACAGCAACAAACGCAGGAGTCAATACCCACCATCTAAACTACACCAATTTCCATACAATAACCTCTTACCTATTGGTAAGAGCGTTTTGTTCTTAACATCCATCTTCCCAATTTCATACTGTATTTACAGGGTGTAGGAGCACCGCATAAAAACCCATCACCTCTCATCCTAAAATTAACACGAGAGACAATGTTGAGCAACCAGCATAACTAGCGGACTAAGATGAGACACTGTGTCATGAGGACTGGCAGCTTAGGTACAGGGTCCCAATATCCAGCAGGAAAAGAGAGAAAAACTAAACCTGGGATAGCTATGGAGCCTCAAGAATTGAACCACCTATTCCAGGGTGACCACTGGCCCACCAGATAAGCTTCTCCGAGGTGGACAATGAACAGGGAGCAGAGCAAACGCAAAGAGAAGCAAACCTCTGAGGCTTCTATCTTCTGTCTTGTATGATTTTGGTGGGTGCCTTTGGCACTTGGGCTTTTTACAGCCTCACAGCAGGAGACAAGAGTTTTCTTCTGAAAGGGAAGCCCAGAATGGAGGTGGCCTCGAGAGAGTCCACAGTGGGCTCAGGTCTGACATACAGGGCAGCAGCAGTGGCCACCAAAAAGAGAGTAGCAGCAGCAAAGAAGCAGAGGGGTAGGATGGGTGTAGGACCCTGGGGACCTCGAGGTGAGGTTGGAGAGGAATGCCAAGAGGAAGCTTGGCATTGGAAAGATGATGCAGGTGGGCAGGGATTTGGGACTGGGACGAAAATAGGGAGTAGAAATACCTGGGAGGGATCTACAACAGATGAGGTTGGTGGTGTGCGTGGCTAAAGTCGAAGGGTATTTAGGGCAGAGTAAGGACTATGAATGAGTTTGCGCTAGGATCCGTGGGGAACTCCAGAATGGGCAGAAGTGCTGGGAGCCTTTTGGGCTGGTGTGGGGACCTCTGAACTGTGTATAGGGGCTGGGTGGGGAGAGGACAGAAAGGATTCCAGGAAAAGACATTTGGGAATCTCATCTGAGCTTAGCTGCAGCCAGTACCTCCTTCTGCTACTCCGGCTTGGGGACAAGGGTGCACCCAGGACTACTTTACCTCTCTGCAGAACCGTCCTCTTTGCGTTCTGCTTTTGTGGAGGGCTGCTGCAATGGGCTCGGGGTCTGTGACTGAGGCTGTCGGGCAGAAGGGAGGAATTTTTTTATTGCAGAAGTCCAGACAGGTGATTCAGACACCACTGTCATGCCCATGTCAACACACCCTTCAGCATTACCCTGTAATGAATATAATGCAGCTGAGCTGGGGATTGTACAAAGTCACAGGCCTTAAGAAAATTTTATTGCAGAGTCTATGTTCTCTCACTTTCCTACCCCTACTCTATGGCAGCACAAGTAATGAACAATACCAGGTGCCTGCACCAAAGCACCTGGGCTTGACTTTCTGAGATGCGGAATACTTACAGATCCTGTTCAGTCTGAGTCCTGACTGATTACCTGCTCTGTAAATTGACACCCCTCCTCAAGAGCACCCCTCATCAGGGACTTCTGAAAACATTTACTCCACATCAACCTTCCAAAACTGACAACGGGACTGCAGCCAGAGGATATCAATCAGCCCAAGTTAAATTGCAATTAAGACTATTGTACGATAGAATAAGACTTAGAGGGAGAAAGCACATTCCTCAGGCATCAGTTAAAAAAAACTCACTTAAGTAATGTGCTTTTCGCTGCATGCAACAAAACATAATTCATCCTGCAACCTTAGCAGCCTGTGTTAAACTGAAGCAGTCACAGCTGACCTTCCTCAGTCATTCTGACATGTCTATATTAGTTGTTCTCATTACATAAAGACAATCAATCAGAAATTGGAGAACAATGGCCTTATGAGGGTTCATAAAAATTGAATGCAAATCCTCTGTGCCACTCAGTCAGGGACAAGTTATTCCCAGAGCTACAGACACATGTCTGTGCCAAAGTCAACGTAAATTTTTTTTTTTTTTTTCTGAGTAGGGTCTTGGCCCAAGAAGGGAGCTTGCTGATTGCCACAGGAGGGACAGCTGCCAGAAAGCTACTCACGTTTCCCTGTTTGGTGTGACTCCTTCATCCTCTGTCATTAGCGTAGCACAGAACAGGAAAGGTATTTATACAAGTAGCTGCTGTAAATTATTTTTTTTTTTTTAGTATTCTGACATTACTCTGATGTACATGCTCCATGCCAAAAAATTCAGCTAATTTATACACAAATTCCATTTCAGCAAGTTCCACATTACTAATTGGGATTATCAGTGAGGGACTTGGAGCAAGGACCCCTCCACTTTCTATCCTCCAGAACCTCCTCCTGTGTGACAGGCCAGGCTGGCTCCATGTCACTGATTTCGAATGCAGAGTGTAGAGAGTACCACTGTCACACATGATTGAAACAAGCTAATACCTTCAATTTTCAAGGGAGATATGGAGCAGAAAAACAATTATCAAGGAAGAAATGAGATCCTGGGTGCTTAAGTCAGACAGGTCTACTAGAGGTCACCAGAATTGCAGTTTCTCATATATCTTCAGAAGAAGAAATATGAGGTCTTGTTCAAAATAGTAATGGGCTGCTGCATATCACGTTTGGAACTCCAGATGCCTGTTAGAAAAGTCAATAGCTGATAGTCAGGGATCCTGTTTGGTATACATGAAAAGCAGCTGTTCCTAATATACTTAGTTAACCTGATACCATCAAGCTTATTTTCGGTCATTGCTGGGTCAATGACCATTTCTTCCTCCTCCCACAACCCTACACATCCCCTTCTCCAAACAAAAGCCTCATGGTCCAAAACCCAAATGGCCTTCATCAAACTTTACATTACTTAAATATCATTTTACTGTCATGGTTTTTTTTCTCCGAATCCCACATACAGTCTTAAATCAAGATCCAAGGGTTGCTTTTGGTCCTGACTTAGTGGGACAAGCCCTCAATATTTGAATAGAAAAAGTCTCATCCGGCATCTCCTTTAATGGGATTTTCTCCTCTAGCTGTATTTTAAAGGTGAAAGTAGTAGTTTTCAGACGCTAAAACACTACAAACTAAAATGTTCCAGTGATTAACAAAAATTAGAATAGTCCTTAATATTCTACTGTTCTTTCTGTTGAGCTGATCTTCATTTGAAAGACATTAAAAAAGGTCAACCGTATTTGGTAATTTTGTCTGCTTTGGCCATACAGCTTAACAAAGGTACTTCACTAGGTACTCCGGGAATCCCTCTAAGCAATTCAAATACCACACGCAAAACACTCCCAAACTTTTGACACTGCACACTGCATCTGTTAGCTTCTAGATCCTCCTCCACAATTGCAGATAAATATACTTACACATCAGTGGTTCACATTTCTCCAAGGTAATCCAGAAGCAAGTACAATCAGTTGACAAAACATTTGTTTTATTTTCACTCCCAAGTGATAACAAAGAAATTCAAACACAAACCATTTTGCATATATAAAAAGGCACTGATACCGTATTTGGATCTGAAAGCCAAAGCCCTATGAAATTTAAGAACTAGCACCCAAGTAAAGCGCTACATTTGACTTAAGCAAAAAAAAAAAACCAAAAAAACCCACCCTCACAACCTTGAAGACATTGGAAGTCTCCAGTGTGTGCTCCTTTCAGCTTCCATGGAAGACACATGCTGCTGACCTGTTAAACTCTGCCTGAGTCCTCTGTTGTAAAGCAATCCCAAAGCATACAAACAAAACCTCATCTGTATCGGGGGGGTCATGCAGATCTCCTGAATTTGGGAGCTCCAAGAGTTGACGCTGACTTGGTTCCAGGCCTCCACCTTGGACTGGGAAATTACCCCTCATACAACACTCTCAGGTAACTTTCGTTTACACACTGTAGCTGTAAATATAATAGTAATGTAGAGTGAATAAGCCACATAGGTGTACAGTATCCACAGACACGTTTCTACAGAGCCAAAGAAAAGTCAGTAACATTATCCAGACCTAACAGTTCCTGGGCAGGGATATGTATGTACCTCCTGCCCCATGCACCTGGAAGCACAGGTGAGTAGGGTAACGTCAGCAAGCTAGTCTGAATTACTAACGAGAGGTAAACATACTCGCAAACGCATTTGGCAAGTCAATCCATAAAAACCACCCAGTATTTTGATGATAAATATCTCAAATACTTCATTTGTCATCCTCTAAGCAAAATCTTTTCACAGAAATGTCATACGTCTTCACAGTCTCGTAGATAACTTAGCTCACCACTCCTCATGAGTGTGGGGAGGTGGGGAAAGAGGAAGCAATATGTTGTGCAATGCAGTACTTGTAGCCGAGCAAATATAAAATACATTTGACAACTAACTACATGGAGATACTGCTGCCAGTCAAATCTATCTTTAAACATGTGCCTAAATAAGGGATTTAGAGTCTGTTTCAAACTGAAGTCCATAGGACTCTATTATTACTTGCTAAGAGCACTCAAGCTCATACACAAGAAATAGAAGCAGGTATATTACACCAAATTACAACACACCACTATAACCTGGTCCTTAACACATATCTGCTCACTGCACCAGCACAGCAAAGCCTCACAGTACGGATGATACACAAACACATTCTCATAAGCTTTTTCAATAGGCCCAACAGACAGGGTAGACTAGGGTACAGTTCAAGCCTTGAATTTCATGACTTCCACAGTTCAACTGTTTTTAAATAACATTTGCCTTCTGTTATGTTCAAATTACTCACTGTATCTCAAAATGTGGCCAGGTGGAAATCTGCAGCTGGAAAGGTTAAAAAAAAAAAAGGCAAGAGGAAGAGTTTTGGTGTTGTGGCTTCAGTTTCTGCTGCACTGAAGATTTTCAGAAGGCCATACATACTTTAATCCAGCAGAAATAATGCCGTTTAAAAAAACATAGGCAACTGTAGCGCATACTTTAAATATAGCCATGCATTTGAGTTCAAAGCAGGTTTTTTTCTAACAGATTCTACGTCTTGGGGAAAGGGGGGAAAGAATGGCAATTATGGGATTTGATATATTTTAAGACTTTGGGTCTTAAAGACTGTAGCCATTTTAATTCAATGTTGGAAAGACTGCCTTTGAAAGTAGTTTCACAGCAGGAAAAGAACTGTTTTAAGTAACAGTAGGTAACTCCAATTAAACTCCACTTGAGCTTTTAAACTTGAAGACAAACAAAAGGCCAACCCCCCCAACTTCAAGTTTGCACATGAGGTAGTTTTCTCTAAGCTTTATCCAGCAGCGGGCCATGTGCTTAACTCCCTTCATTTAGCTAACACTAATTTCTAATCTGGATTTTCCTTTTCCATAAAGATTTCATTAAAAAATTCCTGACAGTACTTCCAAGTAAAGTCAGAAGATGAAAATAAAACATAAAAATTATACACACTGGTAGACATATGTGTTATACTGCATACTTTAAAACCTCCAAGATTTGACTAGAGTTAAAGTCTATAGTGATTTTTACCCATACCTCCCCTGTCCCAGCCCCCACTGAAGGATGATAGTATTCCTCCGTTCTGATTTGAACAACTAAGCATTAACTGCACCAGCCAAAGGGATGTGAGAGCGCATGACGTGTAATTTGGATGGATTTTGGAGAGACAGGACTTTGGTTGCAAGGATAATTCTGCTCTCTCTGATCATGTCGCCCTTGCAAATCAGGCTTTATACCTCCACAGGGACAAATCTGATTCTTCCCCTCCTTGGCTGCCTCCTGGACTGGGTGCTCTTCTGCAGCTGTGGGCTGTGGGCGCCTGGGTCATCAGCTTTTTCCTTTAAGAGACTGTGATCAGTATGGAAAGGAGTGGAGAGGCAGCCTTCCTGAAACTGAGCTGTTGTTTCATCTTAACAGCAGGAATACAAACCAACAAGCGGCTTCTGCATAAACCTCTCTCATACTGAAAGATATATGAACCTGGTGAATATATGATATGGATATATGGTGATATATGAACAGGTGATTGATCTTGAACTTGAAGCCCTTACAAAAGAGTCATAGATAGGATCAAATCAAAACTGACATTTTTGGTTAAAAGGTTGTGCTCCCAAAAGCTTTTTAAGAAAACACAGCAAGAGATCAGAAAATGAGGCAGGACAGGAGGAGTTAGACAAAATATTTTTTTGAAAACCGATAGTCTGAAAAGCTCTTGAAAGATGTTGGGAAGAGGCATGGATCTGCATGCAATTTTTGTTACTTTTTCCATTCTGCATGTTCTTTCGTGGCTCTTTCTGATGGCACAATACACTACATGCTCAGCGTCCCTCACGGCTGAGCTCTCCTCCAGCAGCGTAAGGACAGGTCTCCTGGCAATGACACCCACAGAGCAGTCTCTGTAGTTGTAACCCTCCTCAGGAAGACTGGACCATTTTAGCTACTTTACTGCAAGGGTAATTTTACTGGCCTACGTTCTGCTACAGTCCCCACCAACAGTCTACCAAAAAAGGGAAAAAAAAAAAGAAAAAATCCTGCATCATCTACTCTGATAATTATTGAAACTATTTATTCCTATCTAAGAGGAGCATGAGGTGAATGGTAAATAGTTTTAAGGAGATTCTGTGAAGCTAGCACATAAGACGACAAAAAAAAAGGGGGGGGGGGGGTTATGTGTTATCCTTTTGTTTTCACCTGTCCTCTGTATGAGTAGAGCTCATTCACTGGATATCTGATTCTGGAAATAGTTTTCCCATTGATACAGGACTGATACTGGAAATAGTTTTCATTCCGGGACTTACTTCTCTGCCCTTGTTGGCTTCCTCTCTCTCCTACTGCTTCTGCTGTCTTCCAAAGTTCATTAGAGTACAGTGGAATTTGGGCATGTTCTTCAGCAGTATTTTTATAAACACAAATCAGAAACCAGCCCAAGTCCTCTTTCTTTTTTCTGGCCTCATATTCTTCCTTTAGATGGACTGATACCAGAAGTAAATATTGATTCATTTGCCTGCCACTCTCCTATTGGTTAAATACTTCAATTTTATTTTTTTTAAATACTGAAACAGACATTTTTTTCTATGTGTGTTTTATCCAGGAGACAGAACTTTTACTGTTCCCTGCAGCCAGCCTCAGCTCTGCTCTCTTCTGTAGACAGATCTGTTTACTTACATCTTTCCCCAATCCAACCCCATATTGTTGTTATCGCCCTGCAGTCCTGTAGGAAAAAGTGTATGTGATGTATTGTCTTTGCTGAATTACCAGATGAACTATTTTAAGAAAGATGAGTCACAGAAGACACACTGGAAAAAAAAAAATCAGGTATAGAGTACAATAGCTTATATAAATACAATGGCCAGGATTTTCAATAGAGTTAGCTGATTTCCTGTGGGTCCTCTGTAAAGTCCAAGCAACATATCTACTTATTGTAACTCATA